GAGAGAAACTGCATCAGACTGAGGGGTCGGGGCAGACACTGGCACTGAAGCTATTCACAGTCTCCATGTGATCATCTAATCTGAACACAAGCATAACATAGGCTGCAAGTCAAGCTGCAGCAAAGCTGAATTGCTCTGCTTTGGCTTGCCAGTTAAGTTGCAGCCGCAGGCAGAAAAATAGTCAACTGGACTATGCTTTCTGCCACTTATTTCAAAGCAATCCTTTAGTCTCCAAATTTCAACAGAAAATGTTCTGTGCATCACTCTCCTACCTTTGCTCATTGACCCAGTATTTGCTCTTTAAGCTGCAAAAGAAAATGAAAATATTAGCAATACAATATTATTTAATGCCACCATTCACTCGTGTTCTTTCAAGCACAAAGTTTTATATGTGCCACAAGAAACTGCTGTATCAATGACCGGGGTGTGTGTGGGATTTTGTGGCTGATGTTGGAGAACCACTGCTCTCACCAATCCTCACCATCAGCTATACTTTACAGGGCTGCAGGGCACTGCAGTCCAACAATATCTGAAGGGCTACCTATTCCCTGCCTTTATGGTACATAATGTAGATCATGCAGAGATGTGCATATATCTGTCTGATGGCCCTTCTGTGCGCATAGCAAAGGCCTACTGGACTTCCTTTAAAAATTAGAAAAATCCATGGTGCAGATTAGTAGACTGGTGGGGTGTTGGGACAGGGGTATTGTTCAGTATCACGAAAATGCTTTTTGCTCCCTCACAACCCACTATCAAGCGTCTGAGGCTTTATTATACCTATTTATTCACAACATCCAGTTAATCCTTACAACCTCCATCCCATACATCACTTCATAGCACAGAAGATCCTTTTATTCATCATACCGTTCTTTTACCCATTCTGCTAACTAATAGAGAACAAACATGCAGATGGATGTACCATTCAGAACTCTTAGGACCATTTCAAAGCAGTCAATGAAAAAAGGCTGATCTGGCCATAACGTATGACTGTAGCTTTCACAGTCTGCAATACAGAGATTTCCACCAACCTGCTTTTGATGAGGGTGGGATATGTTTTCACCAGGAAATCAGAAATATTTCTCTGAGTGAGATCCTGAAGAATTTCTGTGCTACGCTCAACTCTCTGAAAGGAAAAGTCAACAGTCATTACATTCTTCATTGTGACAATCTGGCAGTTCAGAGCAGCAGGAGAAGGAAGGGGCTGTGCAGGGAAGTCTGTTCACGTTAATCAAAGGGAGAAATTGCTGCTCTGTTGAAACCCAAGAACCACCCTGCCTTCACTAAGGAGTTTCAAAGGAAACCACTGGCCTTTTAAAAATGTCTTGGTCTCAAATCACATAAAATAACAGAGATTTGCAACCGCATAAGCCAGGCCAGTTTCATCTGAAGGCTGCCAAAAGAGTTTTTCAGCCTCATGTTAAAAATGAATGGGTGTGACTCTCAAAACCCAAGCAATGGATCTCTTCTGGATGGGAGCTATGGTTACAGGAAACAGTTGCACTTTTTAAAGGGAAAATCAGGCAGAAAAATAATTCAGTAGCCAGCAAAAAGAAGGCGAAAGAAGAAAACGGCTGTCAAGTGTTCGTGTAGTTTATTAATCTAGCCACAGAGAGGCAATGTTACCCTCTGTTGGGAGACATACCAGCCTGTAACATGAGGGTTTATGTGAAGTTATAAAATATTGTAAGACAAGAAAACCAGCTACTCTTAAAAGAGCACAAGGAAATAGTTTCTGTCTCCATTCTGTTTCCCAGAAAAGCGGATACCCAGCACAATCTTGACATATTTATTTTTATTTAACTAAAGTATTTGATTAACATTTGATATTCATCTGTTCTGTTTTAATTATACTTATTTTACTTGACTTCATAGTTAAGTCTACCAAATTCTACCAAAGTGAACCCCCCTTTAGCCGAGGGATGCAGTCACAATGCTGGCACAAAATTAGGCCAAGGTGAGGCTAATCCTAAGTAATTTCCAACATCCCTAAACTAAGAAGGGCGTGGATCTGCACAGCAGCCACCTTGCCTGGTTAGGACTGTACTCTAATGAAGCATTGATAGTGACTTTGTCTTATAAAATGTATAGTACGTTTTATAATTCTTAAGTGTTAGAAATAAAACAATGCTTCTTCCTCTTTTTCTGTGATGACATTTTCTTTGAGAGCTTGGAGAGAAACAGGTAAATATTTTGCAAGCACACAATCTACATCTTCTTGTAACATGCCATCAAGTCTGACTAATGGCAACTCTATGAATTAGTAACCTCCGAAAAGTCTTATTGTGAACAGCTCTGCTCAGCTTTCGCAAACGCAATCTACATCTTTAGCATTTCCAAACCCAAACTGTTATGAAAATTTATTTTCATATTCAATCTGCTTTGCAGGAAACTTGCATTGGCTTTGTGTGTGTGTTTAGTCGTTTAGTCGTGTCCGACTCTTCGTGACCCCATGGACCAGAGCACGCCAGGCCCTCCTGTCTTCTACTGCCTTCCGGAGTTGTGTCAGGTTGTCTGACTAATGGCAACTCTATGAATTAGTAACCTCCGAAAAGTCTTATTGTGAACAGCTCTGCTCAGCTTTCGCAAACGCAATCTACATCTTTAGCATTTCCAAACCCAAACTGTTATGAAAATTTATTTTCAGATTCAGTCTGCTTTGCAGGAAACTTGCATTGGCTTTAGCATCTCCTAAATCTCTCCAAAACAGTCCAGTTTGGTTTGTGATTTTGCTGTGATTAAAGAACACCACATTATCTTCCATAGTCTGACTGCTCAGTAGCAAAAGACTTTTGCTGTGATTAAAGAACACCACATTATCTTCCATAGTCTGACTGCTCAGTAACAAAAGACAACAAAGTTCCTTTCTTTAGCAGTTACTAACATATTCCCACCATTGCCAGTGGCTTCTGGGCGGCGAAAGAAAGTTCCTTTCTTTACTAACATATTCTAGAGCTCTGTTATCCTAGTTTCACTAGGACTTGGAGAGATTCAAACCATTTGCTTCACTACTGTATAAGAACCATTAGAGGTAAATCTTATTCTTCAGTCCAGCAGACCTTGGCTTGATTCAGAGACAGAATACTATAGCAGGATTTAGCCCCACAAGAAGAACCTGTGATGAGACTAATTGTTACCCCTTTTCCATGGAGAATGGAAAGTCAGTTCCATTTTCAGTTCTGAATAATCCAAAATTTCCTGTTCTGTTTGCACTTGGTTTGTTCCAATCATGCTCATAGTTCAAACTCCAGTTTATTTGAAGTAGCTACAGATAAAACAGTAGCTCATATCCTGTTGAACAGCTCTGCATGTGCAACTGTGATTATGTCACCACCACCAGCAAATCACTGCTAACTAAAAGCTTCCTTTGGGGATTTTAGGGTGTCCACAACTTCATCACTTGTGCATTGGTCACACGCACCACAAAGTCACCAGTCATTAGTGGCAATTTGTCAATGATGATGATGTCATCACAGTTCATAGGCAGAGCTGTGCAATAGGATTTCAGCCTATGTTTCCCAAGTTTAGAACTGACAGGAAACTGAAGATTAGTCAAAACTAAAAGTGGAAGCTCTTGATTTTTCCTCTTTTGCATGTAAAGGAGGAGGAAACCATAGTGTGAAAAGCTGAGGCTCACTCTGACATAGCCTCATAATGAAATATTTTTGCATTATGTGTAAGGATCCTCAACTGCCATGTCCTGCAATAGATGAAGTACTCCTCCATAAAGAGGGGTTTCTCTATCCAATACACATATTTATGTATGCTGTGCCATACATTATAGAATCTGGTATAGGGTTGCTGCCCTTCCAGTATGGCTTGTCGTCTCCCTATGTCTGGGCACCTGTTTCCCACCAAAACAAAACAACAACAAAAATGCCTCGTGGCACCGTGGTTAAACCGCTGTACTGCAGCCAAAACTGTGCTCATGACCTGGGGTTCAATCCCAGGTAGCTGGCTCAAGGCTGACTCAGCCTTCTATCCTTTTGAGGTCAGTAAAATGAGTACCCAGCTCGCTGGGTGGTGGTGGTGGTGGTAATGTGTAGCCTGCATAATTAACTTGTAAACCGCCCAGAGAGTGCTTGAAGCACTATGGGGCGGTATATAAGCAGCAGCACGCTTTTTACTTATTTAAATGCTGCCTTTATTCCCAGGGTGGTTCATAACCATTAAAACTAAATAACTAAATACAAACTTAAAGCTACATAGTTGGTATTTCGCTTGCACTAAATATAGTTTCATGCCGCCCAGAAGCCACTGGCAATGGTGCGGCTAAGAAATATTGTAAATAAATAAATAAATAAATAAATAAATGCTAAGTCAACGGGCAAGCTTCAGTCCGAATAAACCATAAGCACATTATGGAAACATATATGAACACGCTACTGCACTTTTAATTGCAAAATTGGATTTTAAAACTATCTTTGTTTCCCAATACAGCTGTGAGACTAATTTTCTATCCAGTCTTCCTACTCAGATGAAACTAGCCAGAGTGCTTCAAGCCAATGAATAAAAACCACCTGGTACCTGAGGGGGAGGGAGTCCTCCGGCTCCCAATGGGCACTCTGGCAGCATGGTGAGTCTCCTCCTGGTGCTGCACCTGCAGGAGGGCGAGGGATTTTCAGGACTCCATGTGTTAGTTCGAAACAGGACAGACACATTATAAGGGACAGCTGGTATCCTCCAGGCGGTGAATGTTTTACTGCAAGGATAGTTCCTACACAAGAATACAGAGCACACCGTTACCAGTGTAGGTATGAAACCTGTCTTTCTGGATCCCATTTATATTACTCCATTTATACTCCTGATCTTCACAGCTATCAAAAAAATCCCTCTCCCCTAGGGGGACCGAAAGAGTCCTCGGCTCCTGTACCTTTAATATTTGTGTGGAGACGGAAATTTCAGCAGGCAAAGTTTGCATTAAAAGCTTCACCAGCTGAAGTGTTCTCTTCTTAGCCATTATCAAAGGCACAGGAACCTTGACTTCCTTTTCCTTTGGGCTAACAAGTCCAGGCACAAGTATATCCAGTGGGAACTAAACTCAGTCACATCTATCAGACAGACTTCCATGCATATTGGCAAGCAATAACTAAGTTGCCATCCACCTAGACATACTGTATAGTGACTAACTGGCCAATGGTGCAAATAAGTGGTTCGGGCTCTTTTATTATTGCTTCATTGTCTGCAATGCATAAAATATCGGAGCAGATTAAAACAAGCTGATGGTGACCGAAGTCTTAGCTGGCAGTGCAACTGTTGCCTTCTTGTTATATATCTATAATGATCAATTGCTTGTTCTTCATGTGATTGCACTGTTTATTTGCCTTCCATGAGAGATACAGTGGTGCCGACAATGTTAATTCATTCCATTGAAATTGCTGTTTTGCGAAAACATCGTCTTACGAAAAATGTTTCCCCATTGGAATGCATTGAAATCTGTTTAATGCGTTCCAATGGGGAAAAATCATTGTCGTCCAGCGAAAATCGCCCATAGGGAAGCCATTTTGCGAAGCGCCGATCAGCTGTAAAATTGCTGTCTTGCGAAAAGCGGAAACTGATCAGCTGTAAAAATCATCATCTGGTGAAAAACGGTCTGTGAAGCACCGACCAAATCATCGTGCAGCGAAATCCCCCATAGGAAAAACCATTTTGCGAATCCCTATAGCGATCGCAAAAAGTCATCGTCCTGCGGATTACCCTTTCTATAATGATCAATTGCTTGTTCTTCATGCAATTGCACTGTTTATTCATCTTCCATGAGAGATAATGTGTTGCTAAAGATGCCCAGGAGGCAGCAGTTTAAGGGACAGGATGACAACAGGGGTAATCGTCTAGCGGGGCCCCACTGTAATGTGTTGATAAAGATGCCCAGGAGACAGCAGTTTAAGGGGCAGAATGACAACAGGTAATGACAAGGAGACCACCAATACAATTCACAGAGTTGAATCCAGATTTAGTCCTATCTAGTACAGTCCCAATTAAATCAGTGGATCATATTACTTTTGACTAACTTTAATGCGACTGATTTTAATGGCTCTCCTTCCCCACCAGTTCTTCAACTGGCTTGTTTTGTGTTCAGCAGGGAAAGGGAAAGCATTTTCTTAGTCCAGTGGTTCCCAACTTTGGGTCCCTGGGTGTTCTTGAGCTACAACTCCCATAAGCCTTCACCACTAGCTGTGCTGGCCAGAATTTCTGAGACTTGTAGTCCAAAAACACCTGGGGACCCAAGGTTGGAAACCACTGTCCTAGCATTTGACTTGCTAGGAAATGTCATGACCACTTTGCTACCCTTTCAAGTGCTCATGTTACCATCTTGCAGCAAAACAGATTACAAATTTAAAGAGAGAACTACATGACTTACTCCAGAGGCTCTTTCTTCAAGCAGCGATTTCCAAATCCTGGTTTATTTAAGAAGGCGTCAACGAGAGAAACCATCTGCTCACTGCCAGGCTGCTCATTGCTAATGAGATTTGATAAGATTTGAACTATAAAAAGAGGTTGACTGCAGAAGCAATGAGGTTTATAACTGCAAATCAGCTGATCGCATAGGTAGGGCAGAGTCAGAAGAGATGTTAACAATCAGTTGCCCATTAAGGGATAAAGCATATATATAATAAAAGGATTACATAGAGGACAACGCCATGGGCATTTTGGTCCATGACCTAGGTACAGATTTCTAAATGCAACAAGAAGCAAATCAGGTATACACACAAACACATACAGCCATTCCTTGCTAACAAAGAGATGAGGGTTTTTAAAAATCCATTTTGGTAGAATTCCATTTGCTGAACCTTAGGAATGCTGGATTTCCTGTTTCTAACTGCCTACATATGTCCCACACAGGCTAAGGCAGCCTCCCCTAACCAGGTGTTCTCCAAGTGCTTGAGCTACACCTCCCATACTTTTCAGATACTTTGCTGTCTAGGAACAATGGGAGTTGTGATTCAACACCCTGGGACAGCAACAGATTGTTAAAGCTCATCCTGTGCTATAGGATGGTTTTTCATAATTTTAAATCTGGAAATAATATACACTCCAGCAGCGGGGAAGCGTAATCCTCCCACATGTCAAACTACAGTTCCCATCATCTCTGGCAGACATAACCAATGGTGAGAACTAGAGGGACTTGGAGTCCAAAACGTGGAGAGACACATGGTTGAGGCATCAGGCTGTAGAGCCAGAGGATGGGAGTTCGTTTCCCCCACCGGGCCTCCTCGACAGGGGCTGGACTCTGTGCTCCATAGGGTCCCTCCCAGCTCTGCAGTTCTAAGATGATGATGGTGATGATGATTATTTATTCCTTATTCCTGGTAAACACGGTGGCCCGTGCATTATTCCTTTACTACTGGTGCAATGATGTATCACATGATACAAGCATAAATACTTTAGTAAGGACTTTAAACTCCACCTCTATTTGAGGTGGAAAAACTACAGGAATCAGGCATGCCCATATTACAGCGGTGACAACCTGAAGTGGGACAGGTGGGTCTTACGTATAGGCTTGCTGTTGCATTATCAGGCAGTATTTCTATATTTGAGATCATATGAACCTATCACCAAAGACAACTTATCCCCTTTCGCCCAACTACCGTTAATCTGTCTGTTTTCAACATTACACCCTCTTAGGGAAAATATGGCTGTATGGAAACAAAGAAAATATACAGTAAAAGGTATAAATCCTGAACCAAAGCAGAAATCTCAAATATGAAATTTTGAAAGATCACCTCAATTAGCTAGCATCAACACCAGCTATTCATTAGAAAACAAGGCATGACACTAGCTAGCCAGAAGGATGATTCAGTCTGGAAGAAGAGAAAGGCTGAGTTCTACTAACACCAGCTATTCATTAGAAAACAAGGCATTGCTAAGATAACTTCACAAACATGACACTAGCTAGCAAGAAGGATGATTCAGTTTGGAAGAAGAGAAAGGCTGAATTCTACGGTGATGATGTCCCTTCAGCGCTGTTTGGAGACTGTACTGCAATGGATGCAAGAAAATGGGCTGAGGCTGAACCCGGACAAGACGGAGGTCCTGAGGGTGGGTGGCCCCACCATCAGCAGTTTGGGAAACTCCCTCTCATTTTGGGGGGGTGACTCTCACCGTGAAGAGTGAGGTTCGCAGCTTGGGGATCCATCTGGACCCAGTGCTCACCATGGAAACCCAGATGGCGTCAGTGGCCCGCTCTGCCTATTTCCATCTTTGGCAGATTGCCCAGCTGCATACCTATCTTGATGTTGGGGCACTCACCACTCTGGTCCATGTGCTTGTAATCTCGAGATTAGACCACTGTAATGCGCTCTATGTGGGGCTACCTTTGAGACTGATGCAGAAGCTTCAAGATTTATAAACAAACAACTAACTAACTAACTAACTAACTAACTAACTAACTAACTAAATAAATAAATAAATAAATAAATAAATAAATAAATAAATAAATACTTCAGATAGACAGATAGATAGATAGATAGATAGATAGATAGATAGATAGATAGATACTTCAGTATGTCACTGCAGAGACTGAAACTACAGGATTTATAAGGGAATATAGCAACAGAGAGCAAAATTCCACACAGCAACAAGCTGCACAAATGCTATCTAGGAAATCAAGGAAGGAAGGTCTGCTCTGACAAAGGAAGGCCTCTGACCTGAAGAAAGTGAACTGCTGTCCATAGATCCAAGGATGGAGAGTTAGACTGGGATATTCACCAAATGGAGGAACGAGGACTGTGATTATCAGAGCCAGCAGCACAAAGCTAGAAGGCAGAACAATCTGCAAGCAACATGGGAAACGTCAGCCGCTGGCACTGCATGCAGTACGCCTCTGGTATTTCTATGCCACTCAGACTCCACATAAGCAGACCGAAAGCAGAAAGTTGTTCTGAGATTATGCCTAGGGTCAGGCCTTTTTGTTGTTAAATAAAATAACTGACATAGCACAACAGCATGGTAAAAATAATACTGCCAGTGTATCTTGTTTATCTAGAATAATGCTGCATCAATAGGAATGTTTTTTTTTAAAAAAAATCCAAGTGGCAGAGTAGATGAAAATAGAGGAGGCGGTTCTCCAGTGCCCTTTTCAATGCCACAAGCCACCGTCACAGGGCTGTCACACCACATAACCCACAGCTCTATTTGGAGGCAAAATAATACTGCCAGTGTATCTTGTTTATGTAGAATAATGCTGCATCAATAGGAATTGTTTTTTTTAAAAAAAATCCAAATGGCAGAGTAGATGAAAATAGAGGAGGAGGTTCTCCAGTGCCCTTTTCAAAGCCACAGCCCACCGTCACAGGGCTGTCACACCACATACGTAACCCACAGCTCTATTTGGAAGTTCTGCACGTCCTCTCAAATTAACCTGTAAGATTGAGCCTCTGTCTTCAGTACAAAACAGTATTATTTCCTTAGCTGCAGTGTGTAAGTGACGTTGACAACAAAGGACAGCAGTATGGATGCCATCCATTCAAGTGGATGGTTCTGTTCTAAGGTCTAAAATTTTAATCTTGCTTCTGTAAGCTAGCTGACCTCATGCTGATTTGTAACAGAAAAGAGAACCATTGGATAAAGATAATTCAATTATTACTGTGAAATAGAAAATAGTGATAGCTAACCGTGCAATAGGGTGAGAAGCTTTTACAAGATCCTATCTCTCTGTTACTATTTAATTTGTTAAACGTGCCTATGTGCAGATGCAAATTCCACAGAGCAAGAAGTTCTGTAAATGAAACGAATGAATACATACTTGAGCAAGGAAGTCTTTACAGCTACGGGTGGTGTGGTGGAACCGTTTGGCAAGAAGTGCTTGGATCTGTTGGAGGAAAAGCTGGCAACCTTTATTCTGATGGGATCCTTTGCCACCGCTCCTATCCCTTTCTGTAGCCACTGGTGTCCGAGAAGTGCCATTGGTTGCTGGCACTTTATCTTCTTGTCCTGCAACACCATTCTCCTGTACAGCTCCTAGGTTACACAGGTCAAAATGACTTTTTTCTTTTGTGGTACACTGAAGGACATTTTCATTCTCTGAATAGTGTGTTTCCTTAAGGTTTAGTCTGATTGAAATGCGGTTTTTTCCTACCCTATATAACAAAGTTTCAATTAGGCAATCTCTACAAATCTCAATAAATCTCACAGTTCAGCAAGTGTTTACTAAACTGGCCCAAGCCTTCCTTCCTCCATTGGCCACTGAACTGCTTTGAACTTGGTTTTCCATTACTTGTTGAAGAGCTATAGCTGAAACAATTGCACAATCCCACAGTACCTATGTCCCAGAGTAGGTCTCTTATTCTTTCCACTTTGGATAATTCCCCATTCAGGGAACATCCCCACCAAATACACACTTCTCTTAACATCACAATGTTCTGCAGTTCCCTACCCTATGTACATCTGCAAATGACATGGGGTAGATGCAAGCAAAAGGCATGGAGTAGGTAGAAGGAAAAATATTGTGTATGACCTTGGTGAAACAAAATTCAAGATTAATACTTTAACCGGAGCACTAAAATGTCATGCATATGGCAAGAGGAGTGAATTCTGCTGGATGATATGGAAAGGGAGTGGCATATAAGAACTAGGGATTTCAAATCAGTGGTTTAATAAAGTAGACACTGCTTGTTTTACATACTTTTCTGCCTTTCGAGACTCAAGGCACCTTACAATTTACATTAAAAACACAAAACAGCTAAAAACCACAATAAATTATAATATTAAAGCATTATGAAATACACTAAACAGATTATTTGATTAGATACTAAATGGTCTAAATATTAGATTTTAAATCGACTGACTAAAATTAATGAAATTTGAAACTATTTAAAAACCATTTAAAAACAATAGCACAATAACAGAAAACACTTCCCATTAAATTGCCCTGTTTAGCGGCCAAAAGTCTATTTAAGTAAAAATGTCCTTGGCCTCCTGCCAGAAAGACAGCAAATCATTTAATACAAATTTTTAGTTTGGCCCACAGCGATGGATTGTAGGGTGTATACCTGCATTTTGTGTCTCAGAATCAGCCTCTGCTGTAACCTTCAAGAAAACCTACAAGAAAGATACATTAGAAGGAAAAAAATTGGAGGCATTGTTCACCATCTTTCTATTGTCCTAGTGCAGTATAAATCAACAAAACTGATTCTTTGGCTTATTTTCAGCTAACCATACTTCAAAACTGAACTTCCCATGGAGGAAAAAGAGGAAAGGGGGAAATAGAAGAGAAAGAATTACGGTAACCAGCCTGCCTCTTACTCTTTAATATATTAGTAGACAAGATGCTAACACTTATAATTACATAATCATTCCCAATAGGACAACTGCTTTGAATTACCTCTGCTGGACGAAAGATAGCATAAAAGTGCAATCAATCAATTAATCAGTCAACCAATCAATAAGGTGCTACTCCTTATTCTCCTAAATCTATTCATAATTTATTTCCTTTAATAAGCCAAATACAGTGGGATCTTGACTTGAGAACGTAATCCATATTGGAAGGCGGTTCTCAAGTCAAAAAGTTCTCAGGTCAAATCTGCATTTCCCATAGGAATGCATTGAAAACCATTTGATCCGTATTTGCTCTTTTCCGTCCATAGAAACTAATGGGAAGCTGCTATTCTGCCTTCGACCACTAGAGGGGGATATTTTGTTTCTTTTTTTCTTAGGTCAAGAAAGGTTCAGGGAAGGCAGGGAACATACAGTCCAGGCAGTACAGTACCAGGCAGTCCGAAGACTGTCTCCCAATCCACTCTCTAAACGCTGGGAGGAGTGAGGAAGCAGACAGGCACCCTTTTCACTGGCCAACAGTTAACTGAAAGTTCAAATTTTGCACTTTCCCTGCCTCCCACGTGGCTTTTTTTCAGTTCATAACTCAAATCTAAGTATGTAAGTCAAGTCAATATTTTCCTATGAGAGCAGTTCTTAAGTAAAAATGTTCTTAACTCGAGCCGTTCTTAAGTCAAGACCCCACTGTAGGAGCTTGTTATTAACAAAATGTTTTTAAGCCATTTGGGCATAAATATTAACTTCAATTTATTAAAGGAAGTAAGGGGAGCAGGATGGGAGAGGGTGAGTGTGAAGATCAGCAACCTCTTCAAGTGGTGTGTCTGAAATTCCAAAACTGCTGAGTCCCAAGTCAGCCAGAGTTTCCTCTAATTCTCTGAAGAGGCTGGCATAGGCTCGTTGCTTAAAATTCTTATTGGGCAGAAGATAGATAAGCTCTTGACCAATACTTTCAATTAACTGTGCTTCTGGAACATGATGGTGGATCAGTTCATTGATTTCATTCACATCACCTGTGAAGAGGCAAAGCATTATTTGCAGTTGTACACATAGTATGGATATTACTGCTGACATTAACATGAAAATAGGATAGAATAGCCATTCTCTTTCTACTAGCTGAACCTCAATCTCCTGCATGTTTACAGTGAACCAGCCCAGCCCTAGCATTGGACAACATGTGATGGTCCCCTCAGAGAGCAGACACTAAGAGATGGCAGCAAAGGGTTGGAGAAAACAACTTAAGAAGACTGGCCTGTGCCCTCAAAGCTAGCTTGCTGCCACCAAGTAGTCTGGAAGTTGAGTCACGACAACTGGACTTCTTTCTTATTAGGTTGAAATGTTTCGCTACTCACCCAAGTAGCTTCTTCAGTCTGAGGAGAGTTGGTAGGAGATCCCTGATATATTCTCCATGTTGGTTTCACTTCTCCTGTTAACAATTCTGTTAATGACTCATGACAATGTGTGGAGAAGGACTGCAGAAGTGGGATTTTCACTCATCCCCAGGCCTTTGTCCATCTAACAAGCTTATTCAGACCAGGGGGAAGAGAAACCAAGGTGAAGGATAGATCAGGGGTCTCCTACCAACTCTACTCAGACTGAAGAAGCTACTTGGATGAGTAGCAGAACCTTTAAACCTAACAAGAAAGAAGTCCAGTTGCCACGACTCGACTTCCAGATAAGCTCACCTAGATGACTGAGAATCTTCACAGATACATTGCCACCAAGAAGATTAAAGATGTTGTCTCATTACCAGTGCTTTAAAATAATCAAATGCCATGGGACTGCAACCTGAATCCCAGCAAGATCAATACTAGGTAAATGTACACATGATGTGGTGGTCACCCTGGATTCCTCACAGAGTGTAGAGTCAGAAAGATGTTGCTACTACTGCTCAAAAGCTGGCCTGCTACTTCCAACTCAGTGACTCAGCCTCCAGAGAGGTCCCCCTTCCTCCCTTGGAGACAGAGAGGGAGGGAGCACTGGCTACGGCAGCAAAGAGGCAGATGGTCAAGTAGGTAAGAAAATGACTTGTAAAAAAAGGCAGCTGTCTGAGAAGGCAGATACTGGGGGCATAAAATGGCACAGGGGTGTTGGTAGACAGAGCTAGGTATGTCAGCAAGGCTGTCATACACAACCCAAGTTCATATGCTATCACTGAGTGCTGTGGATGAAACTATCATCCCACCACTGATCATGAATGACTATGGGGGTGGGGGGAAGGACTGCCACCCCTGCCTCAGTCAGCCATGTTTCTTGGGCCAGTCCTCGTTGAGGGATGCTTTCATTCTTTGCCCACTTGCTTGCCCCTTCACTGCCCTTGGTAAGACCTCCTCCTCCTCCTGCTGACCCATTCAGAGGATGAAGGAGAAGAACCAGTTTACTGATCCCAGTTGTATTAATTCCAATAAAGCTTAAGCTCTTCATCCATAATTTGCTCAAAATGTTAGGATTATGGCAACAGGAATACAAACAGGCCCTAAAAATGATATTTGTAAACATCATTCTTGGGACCTGTTTGTATTCCTGTTGCCATAATATATCAAAGCAGAAGATCGTCCCTGCTGCTTCAGAGTAAGTATTAGCCTAGCATCCCACGTCTGAGAATGGCAGGCCTGAGGCTCTCAAAGGGTACTAAGTGCCCAGTTATATATTACCATTAGAAGAGGTAATTTCTAAAGAGGACCATGCAAGCATGTGAAAGGAGGAGCTTCTCTTATTATCAGTAATTTGCAAATGAGCCTGTCTTGTTTTATGACTGGTCCTCAGGCTATAAACCCATTCTTCCTTTGTAAGCTTGAACTCTCACAGAAAACTGCCTCAGTCACAGGCCACAATAATGATTCCAACCCTTGATGATGGATTACCTGTAATATAGAGCTTGACCATAGATCAGCACTCCTTCCCTGATGTCTACCTCTCTGAAGTTCTGTTCACGGCTATTACTAGCTGATTAACCACTGGTAGACCTATGGGCTATTAAAGCAAATGACCCAACCATCTTGTACAATAAACAATGGGAACAACCCCTGTTCTCACCATCCAGTTCCTGCTCAAGGGTTTCTGCCTTGTCTGCAGGTGCACAGCAGGAGGAGCAGGAACAAGAACATTTGGATCCCAGGCTGCAGGAGGTCTAAAACCAGATAAAGAATATTATCACTTCCCTGCGTCTTCCTAATACTGGTTAAGTGTTGTGCTAGAATTTCATCTGACGCTATTGTTTGATCAGACTTTTCCAAAGAAATAAAGAAGAGGAGTTCTCTTCAAAGTTCCTTGAAGAATTTATCAGCTTATCCTCACAGCTGCTTGATTTCTGCAGAATTTCTAGGACTTGACAGTAGCTTTTTTATGCAGGGGGGGGTGGGGGCAAGCAAATTTATACGCCTGTACTTGATAACATTGTTTTTTCCATTTTAAGACTTGATTTCTGCAGAATTTCTAGGACTTGACAGGGGCTTTTTTATGCAGGGGTGGGGGGCAAGCAAATTTATACGCCTGTACTTGATAACATTGTTTTTTTTCCATTTTAAGACTTCGTATCAGAAGTCACACACAGTATTAAGTTATCTTATATACCATGCTGGAAAAGTGAGTTTCAAACCTTCCAAAGAAAAATAAGTAGTATGAGGAAGAACAGGTGTGTTTGTGCAACCTCTGCATTTCAAGATACTGTATTGTGGGTAGCACTGTGTTTCAAACCTTCCAAAGAAAAATAAGTAGTATGAGGAAGAACAGGTGTGTTTGTGCAACCTCTGCATTTCAAGATATTGTGGGTAGCACTGTGGGGCAGACAGTTTTCAATTACAGGTCAATAGGCAATCCCTTTGGTATAATAGTAGTAGACATTAGGTAAAGGTAAAGGCTCCCCTTGACATTTTAGTCCAGTCATGTCCGAATCTCGGGGGCGGTGCTCATCCCCATTTAGACATTACAGACAGGGAAACCTTGTTGTGATCCCTTCTAGATGGAGGAACATAAAGAGAACCTGCTTTGAAAAGGCAGGGGAAAATAATTTGTCAGTTACCCACCCCTAAATGTTCCAAATGCTACTAGACTTTAAGAAAAATATGCATTTTTAAAAGTTTGTTCTATTTCTGGGTGTTTTTGCTTCTAGCCATTACAGAAGCCATGTGCTTAGATAAAAAGCCAGTGGAGAATTCCCTGGTTGACTGGTATTCTTTTGTCTACAGAAATGGAGAAAGACAACTGACTCTATATCCTCTGAAGTGAATTGTGGTGTCATCTTGCCTCAGACGGTTCTTTAAGCTTGCAGTCTCTATTCTGCACCTTTAGTTTCACTCTAGATCCTGTACTTTCAACATCAAGCCATGATTATTTTTTGCACTTTTCTGCTTCTCCCTCTATCTGATGCTTTACAATGCCCTGTCAGATGAAGACTTCTGGAGGACTCAGAATTTGGCATCCTTATGACTTTTTAGGGGTTCTTCCTTTTGGACTTTGCTCATGGATCATGCAACTGTTTCTCTTATGTTATACAAAAATGGGGTCACTCACAGCACTTTATGTTTGCATTAGTGTTCTAGAGGTGAATGATACTTGTAGACTATATGTGCAACACGGGACCAAAAACTTACACCTTCCTTGCCTTCAACAGTCTGGATGTTTTTCATCTTGCGGACCAAGGTGAGATAAAAACCTGACCCAAAAGAGTTTTTTAGGAAAACAGGAGATCCTGAGCAGAGCAGCTTTCCTTGGGAGATGATAGCAACCCGGTCTCCAAGGATGTCCGCCTCATCCATATGGTGAGTAGACAGAATAATGGTCCTACCTGAAAGGAAGGGAAAAATGTGAGGAAAAAAGGTAGCCATCACTCTAATATAGACCAGAAGGCTGTGAGGATGCTGTTTGTGAAATACATAATATAAATTTTATTGGAAGACTTTCACTATATGTAGCTGCCTCTTGAAAAGAGCCTGGCCTACAGCAGATCTCCAATCTGTGGTTTTGCAAATCTTAGGGAGAACTTTAGGCTAGCCAGAAAGGGGTATACAAGACCTAAATCGGGGGTCAATAGGTTGTTGTTGTTGTTGTTGTTTGGGTCCAAAGGCAATATTGTCTCCAGGCATGTTAAGGGCTAAATGCCAGCAGTGGACAGTGACAAAGTCAGACATCCTGCCTGCTCCTGGCACATGCCCCTTGGTCTGCTTGTTTTGATAGACATAAAGATGAGCACATTGTGTTCACCCCATTCATTCACACATACACAACACACAGAAACGTGGCACATAGACTATGGGCAAAGTGATCTCTCTGTTTCCCCATAAACAGTTTCCCACTTTTCTGCACTACACAGTTTCCAAACCAGCAGCTGATTGGGGATGAAAACTTTTCCACAGGAGATGACTCTTATCTCTGCTGTGCGGCTGATAAGAATTAAAAGCTTTTTCCACCTGCATCAGGAAGAAGGTGGTGGACTGGACAGAGATCCCCTCAAAGCTATATCTGGCTCATGGCTTTGATGCCTGACTTAAAACTAACCAAACACATAAAAGGTGACAACAGGACATATAATGAGATATGGATTCCAATATGGCCTTTTATATTAGGCCTGTTTCTGAGTGACAAAAGGAATGTAGCTGGTGGCTGCTTCTCACCACCAACTCAGCATAAACAGATTTCAATCTGTGCCAAAATCTTCTCAGCATTATCTCACCTGGTTCTTTAGAACTTTCCACCCCCACCCTCAATACTTCAAATAAACAACAGCTAACTGTTCTAACAGAACTTTTATTGAAAAAAAAATCATAAAAACATGAGTGCAAACTCATTGTAGATACTTGGACACCAACAAAATTATATATGTATAATTCAGGAAAAGGCACAGGTATGATAATATAGCACTAAATGAAGTGGGGTTTGTGGCTGTCACATGGCATTAAGTTGCTTCTGGCTTAGAACAACTCTGTGAATAACAGACACCAATGGTAGGACTACCAAAATGTTATTTTAAAAACAGACCTGGTTGCAAATTAATCTACTTTTATTAATCCAAATAGAAAGACTAGCCTCTTGTTCACTTCACTCTTCTCCAATTTGATGCCTTCCAAGCTCCTCACTCTAGAAGTCCCATCATCTCCAGCCAAGCAGGCTACTGGCCTGAGGATGATGGGAGTTGTAATTTGCACAGCCAAAGGATATCAGGTTAGGAATGTCAAATGTACTAGATGAAAGTTGCAAGGAACTAGTTAAGTGCTTTGGAATTCACCTGCCTGCCTCTAGTGAATCTATCATATAATTAGCCATCACTTAACCTTAGGAGATTTACCATGCAATGGCTTGAAAGCCAGTAAAAGGGGTCAAGCTATGTAAAGCGGAGAGGTTGAGACAGGGCAGGTAGTCTCTCTCAGGTGGAAAAATATATCTAATCCTGTCACCCCTACTCAGTCAACAATTAATCCATTGAAGCCAATGGATTTAGACAGTAGATGTGGATGCATGCATGTAACAATGTTAACCCAGAAGCTGTCAATCTTTGTTCTTTCTTCATTTTAGCAGGAAGGTCTTTTCAAAGGCATAATTGTAAGTTTGGAGATGAAGGGACTGACCACAGTCCACTTCATCTCAAACTCATGGGCTATCGAACAGTGTGCTTTAGAAAAAATCATGATAGCCTTTCTGAAGCTGCATTACCTGAACGATACTTGAGCAGAAGGTCCCAAATAGATCGTCTAGAATACGGATCAATTCCAGAAGTAGGCTCATCCAAGACAACTACTTTTGCATCACCCACAAAGGCAATGGCAACAGACAGCTTCCGCTGCATGCCGCCTAAATAAAGGAAGCAGGAACA